TGTCATCGAAAGCAGAGCTTTTCTGAGTCTTAGCGGAAGTATCTGACGCGAGAGAGGGAAACAGCGATCAAATGACATAGGGACGGCTTTGCGCACGGATTCTTGTATATAGACGGTGATGGAAACACTTGACCTATCAAATTGATACACCGTCTACCGTTGAAGTAACAAAGGAAAGGGGAGCTAAATGGTTCATAGAGTTGTCGTTACTCGAGAGAAAAGTGTATATTAGATATAAAAAAAAAAAAAAAAAAAAAAAAAAAAGGACACGATGATCATGGCGGTAATATTAAACGAAGAGGCTTCAGATGCTAACGATAAGGCGCGAACTGAGTCTCTATAATTTTCAATAAATCTGCTCTGCACGAGTCGCTGTCGACAGGTTTGATTAATTGCGCTTCGCTATACTTATATGCCCCGCTAGTACAGGCTCATTTCAGCTGCTCACGTCAGACACAAATACTCTCTATTTATAAACATGAATAATAGCAAGAAGGGATGGGGTTCGAGAGGTGCTTGTGCGGGCTACACGAAGAGTACTCCAAGTAAAGGTGTTGTTCGCACAGGTTTTCGTTTTTTGGCGTTTCTACGAATAATAGTAAAGAACGCTTTGGCCAAGTGCAGGCTCTCAGTCCGCCTAGCATATTCAGATCGTGTTTGCATAATACTTTTACGACATCGTCACGCCCCACTTCATCGTAATCAATTTTACTTCTAAAAGATACGCGTCATATGGATTTCTTTTGTATCCGCCGCAAACTCTTTTTCATTTAATGAGCCCCGTCGTCCACACTTGGAACGCATACGTAAATATCGCCACCACATACTAGTCGACTAATTATATGTAGAGATTCAGTTTACTGACTATAAACGAGCGTAAGGTCGAGTCTTCACTTCTGGAAGCGGGAGTCACAATGTCTGATACGTATTTAGCATACTCGAGATTTGTTGAACTTGTAGCTCGGTTAAGTACTCGTCGACGTAATCACCTTGCATGCGGTTGCTTTCATAAAGGTTCATCATTTTGGGAATTCTGACTTGTACAGTTCGAAGGAAAACTATGTAGTATAGCTTGCATTTTTCGGCGGTCCTTTTCCGTGACAATAGGATCGTTCGGCTTGACGTCACCGGCATATATCGCATTTTTGATTACCGAGTTTTAAGTAACTTTATATATAAAATGTAAGCCAATGATTATAATACTGTCCCTTGCGGCCGACAGTTACTTCTTCGCGCGAGTAGAGGCCATCATTAACTCTGACACGACAAGATTGTTCCTGTCGGGCAATGTCGAAATCACTTCATTTCACTATTGGATTTCAGGATTTTGGAGATAAGTCTGCAAAAAAAAAACGTTTTTAGTATATTTCGCCTTGTCGTCATCTTTTATTCTATTCTATTCTATCTACTATCAGCAGCTTTTCAAGTCCCTGGTGAAACGTTTGTGTCTTTAGTGAGAAAAGCATGTATTTCAAAATCTTTGAACACATGCCGTCAATTATAAGACATCCACCAGAGAATTTGCATGAGCCCGTCCTATCTGGGCTTGCATTCACCCATCATAGTCATCTTCCTGTTATCATAGAATGGGCGTGACGTGCTACGAGTATGAACGTTAATTAGTTTACCCCACTACGAGATAAGGCAGAACTTGCACATTTGTATTATTACCTTGGTGACATAAAATTATGTCCAGGATATATCGGCGGTCTACGACGTTAAATCAAAAACTGATAATTACCGTCAACATCAGGCGGAGGTCAGTAAACACTAACCAATTCGTCTGCTGTCTCACTTGGATTCTTTTTTTTTTCTTTTTTTTTTTTTAAATTAAATATTCCTAAACATTTGACCTTAACCACGGCATAGACTCTAAAGCCCACTGTATATATTTGAGAATTTACATCTATTTAGGTGGAAAATAAAAATATACGAAGCAATATCTTCAATATCTAAAACCCACTTTAAAGTATCCTAGGATTTATACAAGTTGTTGTCTTTAGTGGGTACAAATATTTCGAAAGTATATCCCGTTGGCTAATCAGCACATGTCCGGTTCTTCTTGACTACGTTATTACCACCGCCGGGCTAGTTGTATACTCCTAACAAGTGGTAACACATTTTGCACATGTTTGATCTCAAAGCAAATCTACCGGGACTTATTTAACAACAAAGCGCAGACGTTTGTCTATTATTAAGTCTCATTTAATAACTAAGGGCTCGATATCGAGCATTGTTTCTAACGGACGTTCGATACGGGTAAAGTGTTCGAATTTTATTTCGTTTTGAATATTATAGAAATTTCGGACAAGATTATTTATTTTAAAGTAATTTTTTTTTATCAAATAAAATGAACATTTTCATCTGATGATTATTATCAGAAATATGATCAAATATGGCCAAACATTGGAATGGAAAATTCTAATGTACACTGCTATATATGAAAGTTTTGGATTTTACATCCGTTACCTTCGATCGGCGGGCCCCCACAATGGGATAAAATATATACGATCACAATTTCTCACCTTGACTCTCCCACACGTTTTCGAGTTTAATAAACATCACGGGAACATACCTGATTTGACAATCTACGCGGAGTAAGTAGAACAAGTACGCGGAGGTTTTAGCGTGAGCTATTTGAAATACGCCATAGTTAGTAATCCAAATCACTACATCTTCTTAATCTTAATCAGACGGAACGAAGGCTTAAATTTAAAATTTATCAAAATACTTTAGTAGGCAGAAAGTTCAACCTGACCAAAAAATGCTTATAGTTGGTACGTTGTATAAGCGTAAACTTCTTATATCGATAGAAACGTTCGGTTAATTTTTGAATCCTTGAGGAGAACAGGCTTGCCTCAAATCCTCAATAAACTTTTGAAAGTCCACTACTTCTAATATTTATGGGTTTAAACTATTTTCGGATCGTAGTTGGACACGTAAAAGTTTCAACAGTCGAGAACTACAATTGATGTACTAATGGAATTCACGTCTTAGGTTCAGATCAGCATAAGGTCGAAGTACTAGTTTACAAACCCTTACCAGTATTTTGGATGACGCCTACCAAATGTTGTCGCACTTTGGTAAGGCAAAAAACCAAACGCCATTTTTCTAAACACTAATGTGTTTTTATTGGGCAAACATACGGTTAGTGTCCTATTTTTTTTTGCGAAATTTTGTGCTCTCAATGAAACCTCATAACTGCTAAATAGTGATAGAACTTCTATTATTATCTAGTTTTCTTATCGGACGACTGCGAATACCGAATGCAGTTCAAATGGGGTCCTATGATGAAAAGTATGCTACAGGGTTTGTTTGTTATCGGCGTAATTTATAATGTATAGTGTAATGTAATGTATAATTTATGTAGAACGAAATCTTACTTAAGATCTTTTCCGTGTGCAAAACATGGGTCTTTAGGGCGATCTTAGTTTTTGCATTATAACGAAAATACGACTGCTATCTTGTATAAACGAGTTTAAGACAAAAAAGCTATTTAAATATACGCCATGAACCTCTAGTTCAAGAGGGCAAATGAGTTAGTACCATAATGTTCCTCTTCGTCTGTTTCTAATAATAGAAGCTGTAATAAAACCAATTTCGCCTATCTGTCCCCTGTAATTTTATCAAGCTGTTGATACCGATTAGGTGGTTAGCCGCGAGGGCCCCCGAAGGTCTCAAAGCTGGCCAAACAAATAAGTAACCTGCAAATGGCCGAATTTGCTCGACAAAAACATGTATTGCATTCAACGATCCAACAGAGTAAAGACCACAGTTAAGTATCAACACGTGTAATGCGATTATTTCATTACAACAACCCTTGCAATAGTTGACGTTGACCCCATGTGTCGACTGCGGTATCCTCACATAAATCTGTTGCCATTTAAGCACCCGATATATGGAAATCTGCACGAAACGGCCTACCGCTTGCTTCTCAAGCGTCTTTCTGTCGAAGCACGTTAATAATTCTCTTTCTCTTCGGCGTTCATTTTTTTGTTAATGTCCGGTTCGCATTTCTATGGACTTGTTCTTGTTGTACCTAATTGGCCTGTCACAATAATAATGCTCACCGAATCCTAACAATATGTATATATATATATATATATAGACTCTAATGGAAAGGCTAACTTTCTTGGCTATCTTGTTTTAGCCATGCGCTTTATCCTTTGCAACGTTTGTTCGTATCGACTTGCTGTTAGAGCACCCTCAGGCCACTCCTAAAGCCACGCGTGAGCAGTGGCTGCTTCTGTGGTGCTAAAAACGGCCGCCTGCAAGATACGGTTCTTTCCTCACCTTCAGGCAAATTTCCACGGCGAGAGCTCCTATAGGCAAAGCTTTGTTTTTATATGTTCTCTCTGATCTGCTGAAACGCGCGCCGGTTCCAGTCAAACCGAGGGTCTTAGTTTTTCCACTCTCGGCTATAGATCATTTGAATGTCAGACATGAGCGGTGAGCCCTGTCTAAATAAATGTTCACGACAGTAAATACGACTGAAGCACACATTTATCTATGATATACGTACTGACGGACTTGGAGTGCCGACAGGCAGCAGCATCGCCCACAGCTGTAGCTGTAGAACAAGCTGGCTCTAACGCCACTTGGCCCTAACGTCATGCGTCGGACGACGATGCGAAACATCATCCCGGCTGAGCGGGCGGTGAAAGCTCTGCTTGCGACAGCTACGTTTATATTGTAAGTGAAAAGTAGGGGTCCGCTTGGCACGGCATTGCGCAGTAAACGTCAATAATGGTGGCAAACGCTGCTAGACTGTAGACAACGGCACCTCTGATGAACGCCGGCCGCGGTCGCGTCGTTGGACGCTATGTGATCTTTGATGCGTCCGTCTGTCGGCGATATTGTTGATGGAGGGCGGCGTTGATCTCGAGGAGTCTCTGGGTGGCTAGCAAGGCTGGCCCTCTCCGTCGTAGCGTGTCTCCTCCCCAAGGCACCGCCCTGATGCGGACGTACTTAAATGCTACCCATCGCTAAAGGCTAACACACGAAGAACCGCACTCGAAAACGAAGCGAATGCACTTTGTTCCTGTACAGTCCCATTAACTTGGGTCAGACAGTAGTTAATTAGCTATTAGTTAGTTGCTGGTTAGTTTGTCACGGTTCGCTGCTGTATCGAGAAACGAAACAAGGAGAAGAGAAAGACGCGACTGCGAGGAAGATCGACGCAATGCAGCATATGATGCTATGTCTGGTGGCCGCGGTGGTCCTAACCGCATGTCTAACGATGCCGGGGCAAGCGGTCCCGTCGCATCAGTTCAACGAGCTAGGCAGCCAAGAGGTAGAGGCCGATACGGCTGTGGTCATGGATGAGGCCACAGATCCGAACCAGCCTGATCGGCTGCTCGCTATCTACAACTACATCAAGCAGCTTGTTCATGGAGTGACTGGTGGCGACGAGCCCGGCAAAGTAGACATGTACAACAAAATCAAGGATCACATGGAGGAGACATACGCTGTTCAGGGGCCTAGTGATCCTAGCGACCTCGAGGAAGAAGCCGAATTTGAACGGCTATGCGAGACACGATCCCAGTGGACACTTCTCAATCGGACCGTGAACACCGACGGTGATCCCGTGGAAATCGTGCACGACATCTACAAGCAGTGGTACCATTACACCCAGTGTGTTCATGCGGATCGACCCTGTGCAGCGGTTAACGAAAGCGCTTTTGAAAGTCAGTGCGTCCAGACGGAAGGCTTTCAACTAATGTATGCTCGATCCCTAACGACGGTTGACACCCGGCCAAGCTTCATGTTCGTCGCGGTGCCTAGGGACTGTGTTTGCAAGGCAGCGCTTCGCAAGAAAGCCACATCTAAACGAGTTTAAAGCGCTGAAGTAACAACTCGCCATCAATAGGGGTAGGAGTTGTACATCGTAATTAAGCAACAGTCAATTAAATTTCGACGAATCTTTCTGCAACTCGGAAACTTGGTCTCTTACTCTCTACGAGAGCATGTACTCTCAACGCCGCTATTTATTTTCTGAATCATATATCTAGCGCTATAAGACTGAGGCTCCGATCGCCTTGTCCCCAAATCACAATGAAACTAGCTCCCCCTCCAACTGTGAGCGATTAAACAGCAGCAGCAGCAGCAGCAGCAGCAGCAGCAATCATTAGCCATAAAAGGGACGAAGAGAAAAAGACCAGATCACATAATTGCGTCACGAGTGTGCGACGATTCCACGGTGTAGAAATTGTGTATATAGAGATAGATAATATACAAAAAAACGTCCTATTTATTGTTACTTTAACTTACTGTTACGATCTGCGGCGCACGATGTTGCCCAATGAGCTAATTGGTGTATTAGAGGTAACAGTAATGTATGTAGGTATATACATTAAGTTAATAAATAACTATTATTGTATATTCGTAGCAAGCGCTAAACCCATGTTCTAATTTTGTCTTACATCCTCTCATGCCTCATGCGGCCTTTCTAGGTCAAAATTCACTGAGTTAAATTTTCCACGAGTTGCATAATAAACTAAAGGGTTCGATATTTCTATGAATAGCAGCGATGGTAGTGCGAATTTATGGCTGCTCATGGACATTTTGAAGCGCTTTAGGGTTTGAGTGATAGTTTTGTTATTATCTATAAACATTTGAATCTAACGATACCGCATAACGTGTGCCTAAGATTCGATGGCGGGTATTCGTACCCTAAATACGACTAGCTCTGTGTTTTACGTTTTTTTTCAAAACGTATCCAACTATGTTACATCTTCAATTAGATATATGAATAAATTGAGTTCATTGTTGATTGAATCTCTTCATTATTTGTCTACGCCAATCTAACGTTGTCGACCGAAGCAGTTGTTTTTGTATTCAACGTCCAACGATAAAATAGATCTCTAACACGTTTGCGTACCACAGCGCGTACCTGGATGCGAACGTGTGTACACTGGGTCGTCGTTGTTAGAGGAGAAAAAATTATAACGAAACCAGCTTATTTCCGATAATAGTACAGAACGGAACCCGGTCCAAATACCGATGGGCACTGGCATAGATTACGCACGTCAAATTCCAAAACTCACCGTGAGTCTGCTGCTTTCTATGATTCAACAGATGATAAAAACTATTGTTGATTCTATGATCAAGAGACGATATCATTAGTTCAATCGTTGGACGATAAGACGGATACAATTCCCCAGGCGAGGGATAGAGATGAGGGATAGAAACTGTGTAGACAATACCGCCTCCAGACCCATCTTGTGTATATATATGAAAAGTTCTGTGAACTTCTATTTCGACCAATGCGAATGCGGTGAGTTCGTTGTGTTTATCTAATCCCCGCCTGTTGGAATTAGACTATGCTAAGTTGAGGCCCGGGCGCACCAGCCGGGTAGAGGGGAAGGGTCTTTGCAATTGGAACGTATTCATATAATAAGGTATTTAGCTCTTTGGATGCTGCAAGGATTTTGTACAAGCAGCACGTGAAGTAAGAAGTAATCAATGAAAGTCAAATGCTTTCCAGATGATCAGTGCAAACGCATCGCAGGCCTGGCTCTTAATCGTTTTGTATACCTGTTTGGCCTTCGTCGGCCATTAACAAATAGCGGTTCATCCCGGCGGTCTTCAATATTGTTCGGTGTCATTTATTCATTAAAACAGGCTTTTTTTTTTTTTAAGAAATCAAGCTCATCAATCGAATATAACTCTGGCAGTGTTCAAGCTACCTCTCAGAGAGCGTAAGTTAGAAGATGACATTATCGCTCCCTCATTCTGCACAGATTTGATCGGCAGGTTACGGAAACCTGTGAAGAGCTGTTCACTATATTACTGCGCGCTACGATTTTTTCACCGTCACTGCTTTAGCAACATCAAATCTAAGTGTCGATGCCCGCACTTGTCGAGATGATTGTCGAGAATCTGCACTGTTCAAATAACATATTAACATGTGTAACGTTTTTACGCCTAAATCATCTAAAAAAAATTTCGCCTAAATTTCCCCTTCTACGTAATGTGAAGAGCATTGCCAAGGGTCAGATCTGTTTGTAACCTGTTATATTCATTCGGCTCTACAATGGCGCATTTCATAACATTGGTATGGAATAGAAACTGCACGTAGGGGTTTATTAAACCATCGAGATCCATCCCAACGTTCTGTCCTTTTCAATGTTACCAGTTGACCTTCATCACAACTCAGTGTTTCGTAGATGTTTATCTTGTTCTGCTTAGATACAAGCGACACGTCACAAGACTTTGAAAGAAAATGGCGCGAACAATTAAACTTTCACCATTTTTTTACGGGTGCTACCAAACAACTGTGAGCAGCACTTCATAAAAACGTAAGTAAAAGCCACTCTAACAAGGCCGTACGTATTGCTTGCGACGGTTCTGAAAATGAGCAGATTGAATTAGTGTTGCTATCATCGCAGTACGATCGCTTGTTTGCGAAAGTCCAAAGCTGCATCGGTTAGAAGGTAAATAGAAATATTATGCCAATTCTCTTATATCATATCTATCTAGACATAAACTTCTATAATAATTAAGTTGAGAGTCGAGCGTGATCGATAGAGAAATCTGTCATCAATTAAACGCGAGTGTTATCGCTATCTGTTAGGCATAGTTTTCCATTTTCAAATAAGCCGGTTTTCTTTGTTTATTACTAGTTATCGCTGCTCGACACTATCTCACAAATATATTCCACAGTTAACTATTCAGTTTGCATGAATTAACCTTTGAGATCTTTTTTTGTTTTTTAATCGAACAATTTACGGCTAAACGTTGTAGTACGTTTCCATTCAGATGCTTCGGCGTTTTTTTTTCGTAGCACGTACCGCACACCAATAGAGGAAATTAAATATTACTACTACAGTTAACTGTTGTTTTGAACGTGGAAATCTGTGAAAAAATACGCGTCTAAATAGAGTAATATTTCTGCATTTTCCTGTGACGACCTCGCTGGCTCGTGCCTGTATACCAGACACTAGAATACGAGTAAGATAACAATTCTCTATGTATAGTACGTGGAGTCCAAACAAGAGCTTTGTTATATCAATATCTTGTAGAGAAGCTCTCGTGGCTTCCATGCGTTTCCACAAAAGTGGAAGTCCAATTGTGACTTGTTAATTCTACTCATATAGCTTTGAGCTGGTACGAATTTATATATGTACAAGTGGTTTCTACATGAAGTTTTCAGCAATGCTTTTGTACAAGTTACCAAAAAGCTAAGACATACTCATCGCATTCTAAATGTTTCTAAGCATTTGTTGAAAATCTTAGCAGGAAGTATTTATATTTCGACAAGATTTTGATAAGTATTTAATCACTGACTGCTTATTGGGCTGCCTCAGCGGGGGACTGGGTAAAGGACTCACGTCCATAAGGTTTCGGGTTTGACTCATAGTGCAGTGTAAGTCGTGCGTTTTGATTTCGTCTGAGTCGTTGATACCAGCCCATTACGCAGTTACGTTTGACCAGCGTCGATCTTGATTGTAATATATAATTATTCTTCACCTATAATAGCTTCGAGGCAAGTAGCACCGTGCCCCGTACAATACCTTGCTTTCAGCGCTTAGTGTACAAAATAGGATTAATGCCACTCGCTGCCGTTTCCATCCGGAAAAACCTCCTTAGAAACACCTAAAATTAGATAATGTACCTGGAAACGTACTTTTACGACATATGACCTGTACCCATTTTATGAACTCGCACTTAATCCGCACATAGAACATGCATAATAATAATATCATTTGTTGTTTAATGCACATGAGACAAAGTAGATAGCCTACGAAGCCTTGGCAATTAAGCAAACATGTTTGGCCTTGTTAGTGTTCTGCGTACGTGTAAGGATGACGTCGTCTTAGAAAGACATCATTAGCTATACAGTGCATTTAGGTCGCGCTGCAACCTAAATGCGGTCTGTTCGGCGTGCATGAAAGCTCCCCTTTACCCCTAAAGGAGACATTTTGAAATCTAACTATGTTTAAAGCCAAACTTCATAATACACTGCCATCTGAAACGGACGCCAGCAGTATTCGAATGATAAGTAAGTATATCAATAAAGTGGCAAAGGAAACATAAATCCGCTTGTATACTTAGAGATATGAATATAATCTTTTGAAACTTTCGTTTTCAGGGGCTTAATCATGTAGCACATCTTGCAGCATTGACTAATTTATGTCTGACCACGAAATTGGCTGGGTATATGTCTCTGAGGCTTTTCCAGTTTTGAGTGTCCTCGTTATAAACACAAATAGCATTTCTCTGTCATTTCTTCACTGGCACACGAATCATACCTAAAAAATGTTTATGCAGGACCTAAAAAAAAGCATATACTGCTTTAAAGATTGCTATGTCACTTATGTCTCGTCGAGGTGGTTCGTCCAGGGCTTGTCAATCTGAAAATTGAAAAAAACCGCGCTCAAGTACTATGGAGTCGAATGCACAATTGAATATGGCATCCTTAAAAGTTCATTACCGTCATTGTTGAAATCGACGTATCCAACACGTAATAGCATAACTGTAGTAACGTATTGCGTTGTTACATTAATTTACCTCACGCTCTCCACTATAACAATAAGAAAGAAAGGGAACAACATCGTAGATCGTGTTTAATAACGATTTGATTACGTCATCTTTCTGGGGACGTGTATTATCAATTTGTCTATCAAAAGCAAACAGTTCAGCTCTTGCACGTAACTAGCCATCTATACGAAAATTTTTATTTCTGTATTCATTGGCAAAACTGTGTTTAGCTACCACATATTAATAAGAATTTAGATGTATTCAGGGGATATAGTAGCATTGGCATCTAAAACGGAGGAAGCGTCGATTGGCTTAGTGGACGTTTCAGGTATTCGACGTCCAGATCGCAGACGGCGTTCTCCTTGTGCCCTGAATAAGTGCATGGCCTATTTACTTGAACAGTTTTAGCCGCTGTAAAAGTGACAGCTGATATTCCAGTATCACACTCAGCTGACTTCATCCCATCATTGACACAAAATGTATCCTTTATACCAAATTCAAAAACGGTTGTTTGATGCGCAGTATTCCTACATCGCTTTTTCGCTGTTAACGTCATGGGGTCTATCTTGCCAAACTCCCTTTCTTCCCTAGATTGTTTATTCCACAGTCTGTAGCAACTTTTTACATTGATTGCTTTCTAGCCATGTATGCAGCACCAGTTCAGCTGTTTTTTCGTCCGGAGGCTTTTAAACTCGTATGCGATCTTTTTCGATTATGGGATTGCACCAAGTCGGTTTACTCCTAAAACATTCTACGGTCTCAGTATGGCTCTAGCCCATCGATGGTGTGACGCTGTGCTCGCCCTGCCACCGCACCTAATTTTAGGTGCAATGATTCATCAGCTGATAAGCCTTGAATGTCAACAAAAGCCTGCGGCTTATCTGCCTTGTAATATAAAATATCGACGTGTTGATAGAACCGTGCCATCGAGGCCAGGTCGTCTGCGAGCACTAATAGCAGGATCTTGGACCTATTTTTTTCGAAACGTTCAATCAATGGAAAGTACTATTTTTTTTTCCTAGAGCATCGTGGACGGAGTTCTACGAGACACTCAGCGTTCTGTCCCAATTCAAAATAATCATAGCATTGTCGAGTCTATATCTAAAATTATTTTCTAAGGACTGCTATTTCCTGAATCGTAGGTGAGAATAGCCCGGGTGCATGCTTTGAAATACCGTCAAGCTTTGCTAAAAGCTATTGAACTGTGATATGCTAAATAAGTAATGTCGAAGGCGAAAATCAGAAACCACGAAACGGAGAAGGAAACAATGGACCGGAGAAAACCTTC